TAAAGTTTTCTAGCCTGCTTTACACTCCCTTCTCTCTCTCTATAAGAACTCCCATAGCCCATACTTGGCATTCACTAACCACATTTTAAAGTCCCCTTAGCAATTCCCTCAGCACATCATTCGGTTCTCCCGTAAGCTTCTATTTTATATTTTTTATAAAAATTATAAATCACATACAAAAAGTAGTCAAGGACGCGATGATTTACCAGATTGTTGTTGTGGTTGTTGTTGCTGTCGTTGTTGTTGTTGCTGTTGGGAGCAAAGTGAGCTATTTTTTTGCGGAGTCAATGACCCCGACTGAATGACAATGATAAACTACTAACTAAAATAATTTGCATTCGTGGCTGCTACTTGGGCAGGTGCTGCTGAACAATAGACGGATCTACGCTGAGGACGTAGCACCCGTTGACGCGACGGACGTAGCCCTTGTTAGAGGCCTCATACATGGCGTTTGGGGCCAGGCGCTTGACAATTTCCTCTGGACAGCCGAGACGCACGGACAGTTGGGTCAGTATGAATGAAAATGGCAGCGGATTGCCGTGCTCCGCCATCAGGCTGAGCAGCGCGCCCAAAATATTATCGTTCCAGTGGGCCAAAAGGGATGCTGCTGGCGCCGCTTCCCGGCAGCCATTGATGTGAACCGGATTGGTGTAGTATATGGTATCCGTATTGACATTCGGATTACGCTTTGGTTTGCATGCGAGAGAGCTTAGATGTCCGTTTCTCGCCTGCTCCGGTGCATATTGCTGCGGCTGCTGCTGCTGCTGGAAGTGTTGCTGCAACTGCTGCTGCTGCTGCTGACAGTGTTGCTGTTGCTGACAGTGTTGCTGCTGCTGCTGCTGGAAGTGCTGATTCAGCTGCTGCTGCTGGAAGTGCTGATGCAGCTGCTGCTGCTGATAGTGCTGCTGCTGCTGCTGGAAGTGTTGCTGCAGCTGCTGCTGCTGATAGTGTTGCTGCTGCATATGCGGCGGCGGCGGCTGCTGCAGTTGGTCATGATTTTCTTGCTGTGGCTTGTAGGCCAGCGACTTGGTCGGCTGACCCATGTCGCCGCCTGCCTGCTCATTATACAAATTTTGCCCTAGATAAGCCGGCATGTGATCGGGCTGATAGTGGGAAAACTCATGGGTGCGCGACTGAAAGGCGCGTGACGATTGGAAACGATGCGACTGCTGTTGATATGCATTTTTCTGCTGTTGCTCGTGTGGCTGCTGCTGAAGTTGCTGCTGCTGTTGAAGTTGCTGGAGCTGCTGCAATGGTTGCTGCTGTTGAAGTTGCTGGAGCTGCTGCAGTGGCTGCTGCTGTTGAAGTTGCTGATATTGCTCCTGCTGCTGATGCTGCTGAAGCTGCTGCAGTGGCTGCTGCTGTTGAAGTTGCTGCAGTGGCTGCTGCTGTTGAAGTTGCTGATATTGCTCCTGCTGCTGATGCTGCTGAAGCTGCTGCAGTGGCTGCTTCTTCGGAGGTTGCTGCTGTTGCTGCTGATAGTAATTGGGACTGTCAGTCCTCTGATCGCGCTTCAGCTGCACTTTCGACTGTGTCGGCGGCAATGTGGACACCGGCTGTTGCAGCTGCTTCGGATATTGTGGAATGGGCCGAACGAGTACATAAGGTTGAGTAGACGTTGGAGCTACCGGAGCAATGGGGATCCACATGACGGTCGGAGCAGTCAGCTGTTTCTGCGGCTGCGACTGCGACAGCGGCTCACCTTGATGCTGCAACTGTTGTTGCTGCTGATAGTGCTGATGCGCCTGCATCTGATGTTCTTGCTGCTGCTGCAGCTGCAGCTGGTGATGTTGCTGTTGGTGTTGCTCCTGCAACTCCTGCTGCAGCTGCAGCTGATGATGTTGCTGCTGCTCCTGCAACTGCTGCTGCTGCAACTGCTGTTGCGGTTTCTCCTGTAACTGCTGTTGTTGCTGCAGCTGCTGCTGATGATGTTGCTGATGCTGCAGTTGCTCTTGCGGCTGCTGATGCTCCTGCAGCTGCTGGTACTGATATTGCTGCTGCTGCTGCTGCTGCAACTGCTGCTGCTGCAAAGGCTGTTGCTGCTGCTGCAAAGGCTGTTGCTGCTGCTGCAAAGGCTGTTGCTGCTGCTGCTGCAAAGGCTGTTGCTGCTGCTGCTGCAAAGGCTGCTCCTGCAACTGCAACTGCTGATACTGATATTGCTGCTGCTGCTGCAAATGCTCTTGCTGCTCCTGCAACTGCTGCTGCTGCAACTGCTGCTCCTTCAACTGCTGCTGCTGCTCCTGCAACGGCTCTTCAGCACTTGGCTGCAATTGGTTGTTGTCTTGGAGTTGCAGTTGCTCCTGTTTCTGCCGCTGTTTCTTTAGCTCCTCCTGTTGTTGTATTTGGTCCTCCTCCTCCTGAACAATTTGCTGCCAACTGCATCCGATAGGCACCTTGAACGGCGGATCCTTCTCCCCCTCCACCTTCTCCTGCTGCTCTTCCAGTAGCTGCTTCTGCAGCTCCTCAAATTCTTGACAATTATTGTTGTTATCGCCGTTGCCATCGATAGTGCAATGCTGTTCGTTCAATAGCTGCGCTTCAGCTGCTTGCACCCAACTGCTGTAAGCAACCTGAGCAAATTGCTTGGGCTGCTGTTGATACTGCTCCTGCGGCTGCGGAGGCTGCTGCTGCGACTGCGGTGACCAATTCCTGCCAGGATTCACAACGTACTGCACTTGCTGATGCGGAGCAATCTGCAGCCAATTGTTGGGACGGTGCACAATATATTGAAGTTGCGGCGGCTGCACTGGCGGCGGCAGCGGCGGCTGCACTGGCGGCTGCTGCGGCAGCTGCAGTGGCGGCAGCGGCGGCTGTTGCTGCTGTTGCCAATTGTTGTCGCCTTGCACAACATAATTCAGCTGATTCGGCTGCCCCACTTGTAACAGCGGCTGCGATGGCCGCGGACCAACTTGAAGCCAATTGCCATTGCCATGCAAAGCGCATGGCTGCTGCTGCTGCGGCAGCTCCTGCACCACTTGCCAGTTACCAAAAGCCTGAGTACCATAATTTAGCAGCTCTTGAGTTTGATGCGGCAAATTGTTGGTATCAAAAGCTACGCCGACGCCACGTGGCTTAAAAACTTGGGCACCCGGATTGAGAGTAGAGCGTTTAAACAGACGGAAGGTCTCGGCCATATTTTTTTACTCAATACAATAAAAAAAATATAAAAAAAAAAACACAGTAAAAATATAACTATCTGAATAGTGCGAAAAAGTTTTCAGCTCTCCACTGGCAACTCGAATGAACACGTAATTCAACGAATGACAGTTAATGCAGCGCATCCTGTGAATGGGCGAAATTTAATGGAAAGCCAAATAGACGAGGAGAGGAAGAGAGAAAGCTGTAGTAACAGTGGCAATGAAGACGACAATTAGAAATGCGAATGGGAATTCGCAGGGAAGAAGAAGACGATAGAGGCCTAAGGAAAGTTCTGGAAGCAGAAGTTCCATAATGAGACATCCACACACATACTGCAGACAGTTATATCTCATATCATTACAGCTTCTTCTGCATTTCATGCAAAAATAATTATTATTACAAGTGCTGGCGAGCAGTGTTGTAAAAAGCCGCATTCTACAGTTTCAAGCACTTTTCAATACTTTTCAAGTTTCAGCTGTCGCACTCATGTAATCCACTTGCGTGTGTGTGTGTGTGAGTGTGTGAGTGTGTTGTGYGTGATTCAGTTATGTCGGAGTTCTTGCGGACTGCTGCTAACAGATGGCCAGCTGACGGACAGCGTGGCATAGAGGAAGAGTGAGCGAATAACAGAGTGTGAGTGAGCGGGTGAGCGAGAGCGAAAGAGAGAGGGAGCGATATACTAATTGGAGCTGCAGTCGGTGGGCGAGTGAATGCACGAAGCGTATAAATATCCATAAATGCTGAGCACCCAAGTAGGAAAACACTTTCCAGCTACAACAACAACAACAACAATAGCAACAATAGCAACAGCAACAAAGACATTTGCTTGTGAAGCTGCTGCAGAATTTTTGCGGTTGTATTTTGTTTGGTTTTTTAGTGTGCATTTCTCTTATTTTTTCCAGCCCTGTGCCCTGACAATTATTTACACTCAAAAGTTGTTGCCCAAGTTGGCAGCCGGCAGTGCACTGCTCGAAATGCTCAAAATGAAGTTGTAGCTGTGGCAATGTTGCTGGCCAAGTTGCACAGGATGCTCAGGGGCACAGGTGCAGCAGCCCCCACTCGGCCCCACCTGGCCCCGGGTGCCGGCTGAAGTTGCAAGTGGGCTGCTCTGCTGCCAAGTTATGCTCTGCGACAATTGCAGAAATTATGCAACTGCTGTGGCAGCCCTAACCCAGGCAGACAGCCGGTGTGCTGCCTGTCCTGCCTGCCTGCCTCTGTCTGCCTGCCTGCCTGTTGTCCTTGCACACAATTAGGCAGGAACAATGCAGCAGCACAAGCTTTGCAAATGCTCATGCATGCCACAGCGAGTAACTGCAGCAGTTCCCTGTCTCTAGCCTTAGCCTAGCCCCCCTCTCTCTCTCTCTCTCTCTCTCGCTTGCTCTTTGTGCAAACACCTCTGGCCACTCGGGCGCATATCCTGGCAGGATGTGTTAAGCCAGCATTTGGACTGCACAGCAGCGCAGCATTGAAGTTCATTGCCGACTGTTGTCACAGCAGCGGCTAAAAGAAAAGGCTAAAGAAGAAAAGCAGCCAGACTTTGATGCAGACATTTGTTATACTAGAAATTAAATGATATTACTATATGTCAAGTCTCATACAATTAGTTAGTTCAAATGGGGAAAAACAAAAAAGTCGAAATAGTTTAGCTGTCCCTAACCGAATTGAGTTAGCTCGAAAAAGGCCAGCGTGCGCCAACACTGGCCGTGATGACAGCTGTGTGCTCTGCGAGGCGAGCCGGATGCTTCGGTTGAGCAGATATCCCATGCTTGAGGATGTTTCAAATTACAACTCCATAGTATGATTTGCTTAATTGCAACGCAGCCAAAGATCCGCCAGCCCACCCAATGTATTCCAAACTCCTTCGAAACGATGCAAAAACTTGTATTAACCTAATGTTCGAGTGTCTCATTTATAACTTGGTATTCCGATTTGTATTGGCAGCAAATTCCCGAGTCTTTTGGCTGAGATCGCGCTGTGGCTGCGCCTGTGGCTGTGGTTGCGCCTGTGCCTGTGGCTGTGGCTGTGGCAGTGGCAGTGGCTGTGGCTGGAGTGCCCGAGTCTTGTTGCTCAATTCATACTCCTTTAGGCGTTCCGGCGACATGAGCTTCAGCAAGCGATGGCGATTGTTGGCCCGGTGACGATTGGCCGCCATGCAGATGCGGCGCGAGAGCTCGTGCCCAAAGCACGTCCTGCGCTGTTCCCCATCGCCGTTTGACACATAGGAGCGCAGTGCCAAGCCTGTCGAACGGTTTCCAATGGATTAGTTGCCCGATTGGCTCTCATGCCGAACCCCTCCCCCTGCCCCCGCCGACTCACCTACTATGAACACCTTGGCCACTTCCTTGAACGACGGCTGATCCTTAAGCAACATGGTCGTGGTGCGCGCTTGACCCTCGTCTACTTCGTTGCGTTCCGTGCCTTCACAATAAGATTTGGATGATGTATATATCTATATATATACACTTGTRTATATAAATATATCTAGATATGCCTATATATATATTCGCAATACACATAGACCATATGTAGCTATATATTTATGTGGTCTGCTGTCTTTTGTGTTGTTTTCGTAATCAATAATGTTTGTTGCTTGTGTGCAATTCTTGTTTGGTGGCGCACAACTCCTACAATTTTGAAAAACAATTTCGAGCAATATAAATAGAAAATCGACTCCGTGTAAACTGATCTCAGAGTTTGTTTCCAATGTTGGCCCATGGCTGCCTCAGTTTCGGCTGCTCAAACCTGTCAGTCGCCCGCCTACTAGACCGCTTACCCATATTCGCATTTTGGCATTTTGGCCCCCAGCACTGAATGCTAATCAATTACACAATTACCCAGTCCAATGGAGCTCCAGCCCCATCCATTCTGCGATGAAGCGAGATTTACAAAATTGTTCACAAACAGCGAAAATCAAACTCGAATTCGCACATCAAAATTGAGCTGCCGCAATACCCTGTAAACAGTTCAAGGAGTTTTACCTATTTGATGCAGAGACTCGTCGATTCACACAAATAAAGTCGATGCATTGAAGTTGTACTTGCATTGTCATCATTGTTATTACTATCATCATTGTCATCAATGTAATTTTTATTGTCATTATCATTATCATTATCATTATCATTATCATTATCATTATCATTATCATTATCGTTATTGTTATCATTGGTATTGTCATTACCTTTGTCATCCCTATTGTGATTGTGATTATCATTAACCATCATTAGCAATAATGTTCTCATTGTGATTCGCATTGACTTTCCTAACATTCTCTGCTAATGCATATAATTGTCCTTTGCATTTTCATCTGTCTAACTACTTATCATCAATGATAATTATTCATTATCATTATAAAAATATTATTTTGCATAACCAAAGTTCATCGACAATCTATCTTGCCTATGGTAAGGGTGTTCCAAGTTCGGCAGACCAAGCCAACACATCCATCCACAACGGAATTTTTACCGGATTTTATTTTTGCTGTGCATACGTGTACCGCTATGTATGACTAGTTGCCCGAATCCGCAGCTGGCCCAGGTTCATTTGGCATACAGTCCAAATTCATGAGCATGTTCCGCAATACCTATGGCTATAGCGGCTGACAATGAATGGCACGATGTTGATGCGGACGAGAACGATGATGGCCGCGATGACAGCATGTGCGCACACATACATACATACATGCATGAGCTGCAAACTGCTATGCGTTGCACTGGCTGAGGTGGCGGTTGACAAAATGGCGGTTCGGCGACTCAGCGAGTGGGTGAATTAATTAGTTGCTGCATTGCTCGGTATTGCCCTCGGCCTCGGCGTGCGTTGGCCAGGCAGCGCAGCCAGCTGCTGCGATTCGTACTCGCACAAACCTAATTTGATTACTCAATAATTGTCATGCTGTTTGCTACATAAAGACTCTTCTATGCAGCTGTCGTGCAGCCCGTCAGCTGTAACGTCCAGTGGTCTTTTACATGACATTGCCATAAAGCATCAAAGAGCTGCTAATAAGCATGCATAAAGTAATAGCAGCTGGATACACTGTTATACTGAACAATCATAAAGCCGATTAGGTATTTCTATGCGATATGTCGATTGCTCTGTGGACATTTCTGTGAGGGTTTTTAATCATTATATAAAATTGTTTTACAAAAGTATTATGACAAAACTATTGTGAAGCTGTGATACATATGCAACCAATATACTCGATACAAAACTGCCATACACAGCTTTTATACACAATTGTAAAATTATTATAAATTAATGTGATGCAAAACTGTTATACATAACTTGCATAGACTTGATAATCACAACTGTTATACCCGAAACATATTAAATACAACAAAAGCAACTGTTATACATAACAGACAGATACACAGCTACATTACTGTTGCGCAACATAACTGTTATACTAAACACAACTGTTATACTAAACAAAACTGTTATACGACACAAAACTCTTAAACTTAACATAACTGTTATACTAAACACAATTGTTATACTACACAAAACTGTTATACTACACAAAACTGTTATACTACACAAAACTCTTAAACGTAACATAACTGTTATACTAAACATAACTGTTACAATAAATGTCTAATTTATTTGTAAATATGTGCTTGTCGACCTAGCATATAGGTATTCCGTTATCACTCGTAGAGCGACTATTCTTCGTCATTGCTCTCGTGTTGGCTCCGACAAAAAAAAAAAATGGAAGGAAAAATCTTTTTTGAAATTATTGCTGTCGCAGGCAGCACCATCAGCAGAGTAGGAGCAACCAGTCGCCGACGCGTCGACGGTCGAGAGACCATCCACTTCGTTTTATGCAATTACCCATATGCAGTGATTGTCCACTTTGGCGCACTCTAACATTCATATGAGCCCACACGCACACATACATACATTGACAAGTGCCAGCAATGGCCATCGAGCCGCATAGCCAACAACAGCCGCCCAATAAACAGCAAAATAAAATCCCCGTCCAATCCATATTCAAACGCTCGGCCGTTCCATCTATGGACTGGCGGCAGTACTCGCTGTTCGTTGCTCGGGCCATGGACGTAGTCAGCTTTTATGCTTTGGCCATATGCATGGCATGCAAATCGATTGATGTTGATTAGCATAAATTGTCTGGACCGCATTGTGCAATGAATAATTTTGGTATGTGCCAACACACACACACACACACACGTACTGTGTGCAGTCTATTGTTGGTACTTTCAGCCCTAATGCAATTTTGTTTTGGTTAATTTGATAGGCGTTGTCAGTGGCAAGTTGCTGCGTTGACACTTTGACAATGCGCCCGGTACGAACATGACAGCTCGGGCCCCAGCCGATAGATAAATGCCATTAGATGGCCATGCCGATGCACATGTTGCGTGACCTAACCAACTGTTATACGCCAACAAAGTGATGCAATAAAATGGGAAAAAAGAAATCGAAAATTTAAGCTTTTCCAATTAATTACTTAAGTGGTTCCTTCGAGTATTTCTTCTGAATGAGAGTGTTATACGTTAACTTGTGCCGCATGTATAAAGAAGGTGATGTATATATGACTATGTATAACAGATGCACATGATACATATGTCAATATGATTAGGTGATACATATAACATCGACTTTGATAATAGATGTGGGTTTATATAACAGTGTGTATGAGCTGTTATACAAATTGACTTTTAGAAGCAGGTAATATGTAGTAAGTTTTATACAAAAGGAACTAGCTCTGAGCTACTGTTATACCACATGAAATATGCCAATTAACGTACAAACGAAAGCTGTTATACAAAAAACAGTTATACTGCAAATGCTTATGATTAAAATTAAGAAACCAAGTCAAATATGAGCTCTATGGAAAATGCGTATAACAGATTGATTAATCAAACTTGATGAAAAAGTATTGCAATATAAAAACTTGAGCACTCTTTAAAAGCCATAAACAACTATTATCATTTGAGGGCATTTCGAGTATATCACATTTGTTATACAAGCTCTTGCAAACTATTATACGAATGATTTGGCATGGGCATTGTTTTAGGCTTCTTTCGGCAGTCAAACTTGTCCAATAACTTGCGGCCTAATACAATACAATAAAACACGCACACACACACAGAGAGACAGACAGACAGACACACTCACATACACACAGACCCACACACATTCACACACTCGACGAAAATCTTATCAAACCGACATCATTTTCATTATGTTTTGCACTTGCACAGCTTAGACTAATGTATTCCAGGCACTGCTGGTGGTGTGAGTGGTGTCGGTGGTGTTGGTGGTGCCGGTGGTGTTGGTGGTGCTGGCTGCTGTTGTGCGGCAAATGCTATGCAATACAAAATGGAATCTCTGTGTGGCGCTGGGCACACGCGATACGCATTATCCACATATGTGGCGCGTGCTAATCTGGCCGCCAATAACGGCAAATTAGATTAGTAACGCCTACAGGGCGTGCCAACGGGAGCAGCAACAACAGGGCCAACAATAGCTGACCATTTGAGTAAAGCACGCAACTTTCTCTATTTCATTTTTTGCAGTTTCGTTTCTCTTTTTTGGTTGTATTTTGTTGTTCATCGCGTGCTGCGTTTATAAATTTGCGCCCGATGCGAAACTTGTGAGGCGGGAGAAACAAATCGACACTCAAACTGCAATCCCTCGATGGCCATAGACAAGTCCATTCAATGGAACACCACCACCAACAACAACAACAACAACAAGTGGGCAACTTATGATGAAAAGTTTTTGCCTCGCTTTAAGCTGCCAGGGATAATGTCCGAATCATTATTATGCGCTAGCCCTTGCCAGCTTCACTTTCCCCACACTCCAGAGGCGTCTGACGTGCTCGTCCGATGGGGCCGCAGGGGCTGATGAGGCTGAAGAGAGCGAGTAATGCTGCCAGTATATAATTATTGTACACTATTTTGTCGTATGAATAAACTTAAGTAACAAGTTCTTAGGCGATATACCGATTAACCAGAAATATCGATAGAGTTGCGATAAGTGTGAGGGATATGCGGAAGTGCGTCGCACGTTTTCTGCCTGTTCTCTCTATAATTATACGTTTAGAAAGCTCAACGATATAAAACTATCGATAGGAGACAAGTCAGTGCGGAACTAGTTCGGACATTTTGAGCCAGTTCTCTTTCAATCAGACTGTAAACAGAACTTTTGCATCAGTAGATCTGTATTAACGATAGTGAGAGGCGATTCTGACAGTGAAAGCTCAAATGGAAATTAAATTTTGTGAAATGAAAACCTGACGAGGCTGTAATGGATGCTCAAGAGAGACTGAAGAGGGAGAGAGAGAGAGAGAGAGGCGGAGAGCGGACACTTGGGAGGCAAGACAGGCAGTCAGCGAAAGGTTGACTCAGGCCCGATCTGTATGCTGGCTGTTGGCTTTTAGACAAATTCATCCATGCTACACAAAAAGGAGAGTATCGCTTGCCCTGAAACCACTTTCATCATTTTCAATTTCAATTTCACTTTCAATTGTTATTGAACGTCCCCCGTTTCGATGAATTATGGCCACCCGGCGCCACTGTCTGCGCCCGCGGCGGGGGCGGCGCATTCAAGGGCTGATGGCGCCAGTGCGACGCGGCCAAAGGCAGTTACTGGCCAGGCACTTATACGCCTCGCTGGTAGCCCGACTGGGAACGGGAGCCGGGAGACATAAAGACTTGAGCCAGAACGTGAAATGAGTTATATGCATTGCGTATATCGTAGAAGCGAGAGAGGGTGATAGTGGGAGAGGGTGTGGGGCAGAGGGCATCTAGGTAGACATAGGGCGTGAGAATAGCCGGCAAAAGTTTTGGTTAATTGCGAGGGCGTGCTGCATTTAGGGTTAGTTTTTGTGGCTGCGTGGAAAAGTTTGCACGAGACGGAGAGAAAGCTGATTTTAATTGTTGCTCGACAAATTTTCGGGGGCTTTGCTTAATCACTTGCGCCAGATTAGTTTAACTTGCAACAGGCTGGGCGGCAGCATTGCTCCTGGTTGCTGAGGTGCTGTGGGGCTGTTGGGGCCCCCTCCAGTTGTCAGTCATAATTAAGGCGGGAGCGAGAGTTACGCAATGCGCTCAGCCAAATAGCATCAACTGGAAATGGAAATGGAAATGGAAATGGATACAAAACTTTTTGGCCTGTCAGCAATGCGTGAAAGCTGCGCCCCAAAACTTGCTAATCAACTGCGACAGCTGCACCAACGGACCCCACCGACCACTGGACCGACCATGAGAGCATATTCGAGAATGGAGCATTCCACTCGTAATCCTGGATCAGCAATGCTACAATGCTACAAATCATATATGGGAGAGCCAACGCGTTGATCTATGATCAATTAGCAAATACAGATGTATGTATGTCTATACAGGTTCTGGATATACATAAATGCATCTATATAACTATCTATGTATCTATATGTATATATGACATTTTCATTTTAGATAAGTTGAAGCTGGCTCAATAGTCGAAAGAGGAATGTGAGGCATTGGAAAGTCGAAATACGCTTGTGCTGGTGCCGGACTGCACCACACGCGCCCTCACCCTGCCAGCCACCCAGCCACACCCACACACACGCATACTACTTGATTGTGTATCTGTTAGTTAAATGCGCCGGCACTCAAACTGATTTCAATCAGGCTGCGGTTATTGTGTTGCGCGACAACCAATGGAAATTTGCAGCTATCTAAATTTCCTGTGACACGTGCCAGACACAACAACAACAACAACAACAGCAACAACAACAACAACAGAAGCAGCAGCAGCAGCAGCAGCAACAACTGCCAACAAGTACGACCATAACAATGATGTTGCCCAGTTTGCTCAGTCCACAAGTCAACTTCAGAGCTCGCTGCTGCTCCCTCTCCCTCTCTCTGTCTCTCTCTCTCTCTCTCTCTATCTGTATCTGTGTATCTGCATCTGTTGTATCTGTCGCGCCCTCACAGCTTGCTCTATGCAAATTTCCGAGACGCAGATTCCTTGTCGTTTCGACTCGTGAAGTTGCCCGCATTTCACATTTTATTGCACAGCCAAATAGCGATTTGCCCTCGAATCTTGGCTATGGCGCGCGACTTTAACTGCCAATCGATAAACCAGCCTCAGCCTGACCGCTTGCTTCATCTTTGTTTCATCTGCGTGTCTGCATCTCCCTCCCTCTCCCTCCCTCTCTCTCTCTCTCAGTCGTTTTCTTTCCCGCTCTTCTAGTCTGGCCTTCAGTTTGCGAGCTGAAGATGTTGCTGAAACGGCAGCCGCAAAGTCAAAGTTTGGCCTCTTCTATTTTGGGCGAGAGGCACTTAAAGTGTCTCCTGCATTCGCTTCAATGTAATCACAATTCTCAAATGTTTGGCATTTGGCTTTAGAGCAACCCTCAAGTTGTCTACGTTTCACAATGCTAAATCAACATATTTTTCGCTGCTCTTAAAACATTTCCTAAGTGGCCGAGTGAAAAATCCGTGAAACCTAAAATGCCTTTTACTTTGTGGGCTAAAAATGCCAATATTATCTCCAAGATTCCGAGGGATATCTCGGCTCTGGGCTATGTCCGCATTGCTACTCTGCTCACCCGTCTTTCCATCCGTCAGTCTTATACTTCAACTTCTCCGATATGCCCAGTCAATCAACTCAGCTTGCTCAGAGAGAGCTCATCTAGTTATCCTTTCAGTATGCTTTCATTGGAAGGTTGACAGAAACCCAAATTAGCTCATACAAAAAGCAGTGCTAATAATATTGTAAGACTTTTGCTCCGATAGCTGGCACTTGTTTGCTGCCGTGGCCAGGACAATGCGGCCGAATGGTCCCAATCAGGCGCCTCGACGTAAGCTCATACCAAACCTATTCAGTAGCATCCTGAGGGTGGTCGCCGAGTCGGACCGTCCGCTGACGCAGCACGAGATCGTCGAGGCCGTGTCGGAGCGCTTGGATCGTTCCGATGAAGAGCTCAAGCGGCAAGTAACTGTCAACCTGCACGATGCCCTCATCTATGGGTACCTGCGTGTTAAGAACTATCGCTATTCGATTGTGCCCAGTCGCGTGGATCCGAATGAGCCGCGGGAGCAAAACCGTAATGCATCGCGCTACGAGTCCCCACATAGCAATAGGAGTCGCGACGATGCTGTCAAGCAATCAGCCAATCAGCAGGCAAAGGCCGAGGAGGAAAGTACGCAATAATATAGCCAAAGTATCAGATGTCCCTCAATAGACCAATATTAACAAATTCACCGAAGATATTGTAGAATATATTTGAATACAAAATAAATGAAAGGATAAAGCATCAAAAGAAAGATTACGGTAGATAGGCTGAAGAAAGAAGGGAAAATGATATAAGGGAGTGAATATTTATTTAGGTATTAAAGGATATTGACATATCGAGAGACAACTAAAACTATAATTATATAGCCTACAAAAATTAAAGAAAATTACAGAAGTATCACCGACCCGATGAGGGTATATTATAAATGATCATTGGGCTGGCATGATCCAGAATCTATAGTGATGATGCCAGGGATCTGCGTAGGATGAGTCGGGATCAAATAAAAATCAATATGCTCTCGAACTTAAATTTTTTTATTATTTTACACGAAGGGTTTGCCCATTGAAATCGATTAAAACGAATAACTTAAATTTCAGAGAATACCCAAATGTCTCTCGGCAACAGCCCAGCGCTCGGTGTATATATATATATATATATAGATACATATATGTATTCTTGTGACAATTTGGCATTTCCTTAGATTCATGGCGTTTGTGTGAGGGGTTGCATAGGGGTTAGTGTGGGGGTGTGGAGTGTAGGGAGTGGTGAGGGGGGTGGAGGGGCGGTTTGGGGGTGGAATCGTGTTGTGGGTGCTCAAGTAACGCGGAAACAAAAACATCATATATGAACACATATGAACTACACTCCGAATACCTGGCAACGGCCAAGATTGCTTCGAGTGATTGTTGCGCCTAAACAAATGCTGGATCCTAACGTATGCGCCACGACAACGGCTCCTTCTCCAGCTCCTTGGCCCGCTTGGCTGCCTCCTGGTTGCGCTTCATGATCTCCTTCTGCTCCTGCTCCGACAGCAGCGTATAATAATTGCCATCCTTGCGCAAATAGCCATTGGCAACGGCGCCGTGCAGCGTGTGGGGTATGTGGCGCTTGAGCTCGACTGGCAAGCGCTGCAGCCGCATCGACAGCATGCCAATCATTTCCGGATAGCTAACCGAACGGTTCAGCTCACGCATCAGCTTGATAACCGTTTGGAATAGATCCGGCAACTGTTGGCGCCTGCCATTGGTGCGCTCCGACTGGCTGCCCGAGTGCGAGAACGCGTGGGCGTGTAGCTGCGGCTGGGATTGGCTAGGCACCAGTTGTATGGGCGGACATCGGCCCGTAGCTATACCCATACTCATGCCCATGCCCATACCCATGCCCATGCCCATGCCCAGGCCCATGCCCATGCCAAAGCCAGCTCCCGCCATGGCGAACGCTGTCGCAGCAGTAGCCGGTGCCGGTATTGCTGTGACCGATGCCACTCCTCCTGCCGCGCCATCAGCAGCTCTAGCACTGGCTGGCGTGAAGCTGGGTGCGCTCACATTCAGCTGATGCGACCGCGACGACTGCAGCGGCTCGAAGAGCTGGTGCTGGCGTGCCAGCTGCTGGTGCTGGTGCAGCAACTGTTGCTGCTGTGCCAGCTGATGATGGTGGTGCTGATGAACGAACTGCAGGTGCTGATGATGGTGGTGGTGATGCTGCGGCACATCCCAGCCAGTCCACGAGCGCACGTTGTAAATGTGCGGAGTGCGATTCAGGTTTGCATGCACCCCCGTCTGATACTCGGAGCAGTGTCTGTAGATGATCGGCAAATTGCCGGCGCCAATGCCAAAGGAGTTGCTGAGGCGCCCATTAATGATAGGGACATTGATAGTCCTGCCAGCTTGAGAGTCGCCGTGTCCGTAGCCCAGTCCCAGTGCCGGTGCCTTACCCTGTGCCGGTGCCTTACCCTGTGCCGGTGCCTTACCCTGTGCCGGTCCCTGGCCTTGTGCCGGTGCCTTACCAAGTTCCTTTTCCTGTCCTAGCTCCTGTCCTTGTCCCTGTCCCTGACCATATTCCTGGCCATGTCCCTGTTTCAGTGCCTCTGCCTGACCCTGCGACTGTCCAATTTTGCGGGCCTGTTCGCCAGTAGCTGAACCGCCCATGCTCGGGCCGCTGCTGCGCTCTAAATGACTCGACGCCATTTGTATCCCGCTGCAGGACTTTGCTGTCGCAGCTGTTGCTGTTGCAGTTGTTACAGTGATTGCTGTTGATGTTGTTGTTGCTGCTGTGCTTCAATGCAGGGCGCGATCCGTAGCTTCGGCTATGCGTACAAATATCCTCTTGATGCTGATATTGTTGCAGCTGATAAAACTGTTGCTAATTAGCTTGACTCGCTTGATTCGTCGTCTACTGGGCCGTATTGCCTGAATTGAATATCAAATTATCTCTATTAGCGATTGGAATCAGTATATATGCATATACATATATATTCATTCAGTTAAAATATCTCTCTCTCTCTCTATCTCTTGATTTGTCTGCAATCTGAGCCATCAAACGGTCAAAAGGTTTTTATGTCTTACCGTAAATCAAGCTGAACTGGAATAGCACTGATAAAAAAAGAAGAAAAACCGAAAGTCTATCTATTTCTTTTCTCAGCGACTTTTCAAGAGAGGTTTAAGCTAAAGGTCCCAGGTAAAAGTTTTGTAATTGACGTACCTGCGTTGAAATTAAATCGGAGTTCCTTTATGAATTAGTATTGTCACTTGCGTAGATCTGTGGACGACTAATGACAGCATTCGATTTAGCTATTGACATTGTTCTCAAGCCTACTTCCATAAGTAAAAAAAATTTATCGTATATATGTCGAGCGACTAACAAATCGGAAAGGGAATCGATGCCACAACTATGCATCGATAAGTCGATAAGTCCACCTCGACCAATTATTTGTTTATCAATCATATTCGATTCACTGCAGGAAGGCCTAACATGAAACTAAAATGCAATCGACTTAAGGCAAAGCTGCTTTGCCTAAGATTCATCCACCCCAACTTCAGGGAGCAACGCCAAGCCTCTGACTTGGCTTAGTTCAGGTGTGGAGATGTGTTTTGTAGATCGAGTTGGTTTAATCGAAGTGAAACATACCGTTGTATTCTTCGCTTATGTACAAATTCTTAATGTAGATCTTCCGTTAGAGTCTATGTATAAGTCATCATTTGAACCAACGTGAACCACTTCTTAACAGTCGTGCCAAAGTTGTACCTTCGATCAGTTTAAGTAAAAAGTCCTCTCTGTGTAGATTTAGGGTTACTCAAATATCTAAAAACTAAAACCAAATAAGTTTATTCTGAAAAATTTTTTTCGAAACTGCTTTTCTACCGAGAATCCATAAAAACTAACACGGACATTGAATGACTGAACAGTCGTCGCCTGTGCGATACAAAGTTGCTGTGTTGGAATTTAATTTGTTGAGAGCGGAGTAAGTGTTCACTTGCGTTTATGGAAGTACTGATGGCGTTTGGATTAGATTAGATGGATCAAGGAATCGATACTATGGCCAAAGAGTGCAAGAGATTTTATCATTTCGCATTGAAAGTAAAGCGGATGGATCGATTAGTACAAAGGCAAAGACTAGTCTGTATCTCTCATCATGTCAGGTTTATTATCAATAGAGTTTGATACGATTTTGGAAAGTCTAGTTGAATATGCTCTTTGAGTCGATTCCATACAGATCGGACTAAGAACCCTTCGTGTCGGTAGCCGCATATTAGCTCCGCTTCACTTACAGCTTCGCTGAAGCAAAAAGGCCGTGCGGCGGGCTTTGGGTATCATAAATTTGTTTCTTTACTGGCCTGTGGCCTGAGGCCGAGCAAGACCCAAATCCGTTTATGATATAATGTAAAACAATAATGCCGACAAGCAGCCGCTAGCTGGAGTCGGAAAGTTATGCCCAAATAAACAAAAATATATGAAGAAAACAAACAGAGTGCAGGAAACCCAACCCGGGGCGGGGTCGTGATGAGGTGCGAAAAATCAGTTGAATTGAAATTGCGTGACTTATGGCAAAGCAGTTGAGCCCGAGGGCTAGTTGGGTTGCTCGACAGCGCAGACCTTGCGAAGGGTTGCTTGTGCTTCTACGGGCTGTACGAGGCGAAATTTTAGCAGAGTGTGGAAAATGCCCTAAAAGCACTCCAAATTGAGAGAATGTGATGTGATTCCCGAAGTGAACTCCCTCAAGTGTACTCGACTTTCGCTGCTTGAGCTGAGCAGTTGATGGATATGAAACAGAGAACTCGTAAAAATAGGCCTATGAATGAAGTATATCTTTGCCTCTTGCTGTATGGTTTATATGAAAGAAGTATATATGAAAGTAGTGCATATATCTTTGCCTCTAGCTGTACGATCTACAATATAACAACAAAGTCTTGATAACATGAAACTATTATGGAGATAGAGATAGATAGGTCGATAGATGGAACAGATCGAACAAAGCTTTACTATGGCATATCCAAGTTCAGTTCATATATAACCCAGCTCGCTGTAGTATGTGACAGTTATCTCCACTGGCTTGATGGCTTAATAGTCTTCCTGTAGAGCTCTCAGCTCTGATGATAAAGCTGTGACGAACCTCATTATTATAGACGCAGGTCGGCAGCAGAGTGGAAGGAGGTTAAGTGAGGTGAAGAGGGTGAGGACTGGTGGGCAAGTCCATTGGTCCAGGAGCAAGGCCCGAGGCAGGCACACGCACACAGATGCATAAGCGTGACTTAACCTCAAATACAGTGACTTCCGTTGCAACAGCAGCTGAGTTGATGCAACTCAAGCTCAGACAGCAACAGCGTCAAACAATGCATCAACTGCAACTGTTTAGATGAGCGTATATGTGTGTGTGTGTGTGTGTGTCTTGCTTTGGACCACATATATCCTGTCTGGGAGCCCCTTAATAGCAGTTGCTGTGCGACAATCACAGTGCGTGCCACGCCCATTTAACAAATGACGCCAATAATAACAGCACACACACACGCACACATACACACATAAAGCTCGTGTGCGTGTGTGTGGGTCTTTTGCGTATGCATTAAGTGGATTTGCGGCTGGCGCCTAAAGCTGACACCAAATCAAATACAAAACCAACTCTTAGTCAACCTCCCTAGCTCCCCTCACGTCTCCCTCTAGAAAGGGGCGCAAGTGTGGCGTGGGCGTGGCGTCTTAGCTAGTCGACAACATATGCTTCAACCACAAGCTTAAGCCATTCCTAT